CAAACACACACACACACACACACACACACACACACACACACACACACACACACACACACACACACACACACACACACACACACACACACACACACACACACACACAAAAGCAACCTGTGCTACTGCTCTCCATCATTTTCCATGGCAGGGTCACCTCAGGTTGCCCTCATTAGTGTTACCACCGGTCAAATTAACGTTGATAACAGTTGGAGATGGGGTGGGTCGAAATTCTAGATTAATGACAGTGACCTTTGAACTTCACAATGCACCCCCCCTCTTTCACATGAGCAGAGAAAAAAACCTGCTCTTGTATTTGAAAAGCAAACTGCATACAGTAAGAGAAAGGACTTAAGGAGAAAGGTAAAGAGCTGACAGTCTAAAAGGCAAGTCAACAGATGTATTTAAAGTAATGTAGCTTGACTTGAAGAAAGAAAAGTAATTCATGAAGTTGTGTTTAAAGTCAGAATATGTTTTAAAGAAGAGTGATAATTACGTGGGGATGCTCTGTTACTTTTTTTAGGTGTTTTTTAAGTGTCAAATTTGACTTACAAAAAAGCCCAGCAGAAGGCAGTTGCTGTTAAATGTGTTTATTCATGCAAGAGTGTGTGTGTGTGTGTGTGTGTGTGTGTGTGTGTGTGTGTGTGTGTGTGTGTGTGTGTGTGTGTGTGTGTGTGTGTGTGTGTGTGTGTGTGTGTTGCGCAGCCCTGCAGTTATTTGAAGTTACATTTTGAAATTAATTAACACAAACAACACATCTGCTACGTAAGTAATAGTTTTTGTTGGAATTCCCAATGTCAAGTTTAGTGTGACTGTAGAGGAGCATATGGCTACCCAGTGCGTTAGAAAGTGACGGAAAAGACAAAGCGTTTCTATGTGAGGAGTTGGGAAACAAAACAGGTTGGTGCAGCTTTCATATGGAGAAAAAATAAGGAGAAAGAAAGAGATTAAAACTGAATGTTAGACAGCAACCACGAGAAATATCTGAGCGTGGTGTGAACTGCTCCAACTGCTGCTGCACTTTTTGCATCTTGAACTGATTTAACAAATATGGACAACAGAAAGCATCTCAGTTAACATCTAAAAACTAATTTGTTTTCTTTGTTATTTATGTTTAAATAACACTAGTGAATCATTGACTTACAGTTTCTTTCTGACAACATAAATAAAAAAGTGTTAAGCATGTTGAGCCTCCATTGCATTGCTGTGTTTGCTGTTACAGAGCGGGTTAGGGGTATCCTATCTCTGTCTATGTCTGGTTATTCCAGCCAGACCCAGGGGAAGGGTTGGGGCGAGACTGCCTGACAACAAGACAAACAGTGATGAAAGATGGAAGCTGCAGTTGGAGGAGAAAAGGTGTGTGATCAGAGTATGGAAAGACCAAGAGGAACATTGTGATTTCCGAGTCAAAATGTCATCAGATGACAAACATGCTACAAAAACAATCCAATCAGGAAGCTCCTATAGCTCAGCGACAAGCCGCCCTATACTCACATCTGACGCCTGTCAAAGGGCTGTGATTGGTTTATTATCTGAATGAGCTGAACTTCCTCTGGGGAACCAGAGAGCGTGATTTTTTAGCGATAAACAAATTAGCTTAATCACTATATTTAACCCTGTGAAATGTAAGAAAAAAAGAGGACAAAGCGGCAGGAAAAGTGAGGAGGGGCTGGGAAATGGCCTTGAGCCCGGAACGACTGGGACTACAAGGTCCCATGTGCTAATTCAGACTAGTGCACTTGAAACACTGTCCTCAAGCTATTAGATCATTATCTATTTACCCTTAGTTTTTCATTTGTTTTTGGTACAGAACAGAAACATTTTCAGCCATAAAGGCTTCTCCAGCTAAGCAATGTGTATAGACAACATAAAGCCATCATGGCTGTGACTATATTGATTTGTAAAAACACAAGTTGACGAACATTAGGCAGAAATATTTGTCACAAGTTGTAAAGGACATCGGCCACAGAATATTTAATAATGTACTAAGATTGATAATTTGGACAAAAACAAGCTAATGTAGATATTTTCGAAAAATAATTCCGACATGTGAGCCATTCCAAATATGTAATCTGTCTGGCTGAACCATTGATCCATCGCAAAAATATTAGGCCTGTTATTAATTAATCGTATATATCATCATATAAATAATCGGTGTTTCTAATGGAAACATGTGCTTAACGGTGCTTGATTGTGATTGGCTGATTAAAAAGCCTTCACTTTGTAAAGTTCCGTCAATAGAAAGGAGTTGTAGTTGATGATCAACCCAGGGTCGATACAGTGAGAGCTGTTGAAAAGAGAGCAGGGCCACGCAGTGACTCGTGTTGACGACGACGGGTCGTACTTACGCTCTGAGGGGACGACAGGCAGAGGGGAGCGACCAGCAGCAGGACGAAGGTCAGGGCCTGGCACAGAGTCAGCTTCCTGCAGGCAGAGAGAGAAACACAATGTCAGTCAGTGGGGGGCATCACCCTCGCTGTTTTACAGATCATATATACGAGATGCACAAACACAGAAGCAGAGGTGGGAAGTAGTGGAGTACAAATCCATGTAATGATGTATAAATCATTTCCTGGTCTTCTCTAAAGAAGAGGGACCAATGAGAACTTTGTCATTTTGCCATTGTTCAGCATCGAAACATTGATTCATTAGCTAACAATGATATTATTGTTCTATTAATATAAAGTGAGTTCAGTTACTCTTTAAAACAGTTGGTAGTTACAGTATGGGTACTTAAAGGTCACCTATTGTGCAAAATCCACTTTTTCATGTCTTTTATACATAAACATGTGTCGCCTCTGTGTAAAGAGATTCTAAAAATGTCAGGAAAAAATATTGGCTCACTTTTTGTCCTGATCCATTTATACTATATAACCCCCCCGCCACCTTATCACCTGAATCTCCTCCTAGAGCACCATTGTGTTCTTTTTAACCAAATATCTCTCAGAGGGGCGTGGGGAGGGGCCGGCTCCATTATTTTTCATCATAAGCTAACAGACAGGAGAATCAGGCCACTTTTGAAACAGGGCGCTGAAACAGAGGGTTTATGGGGGATTTTATGTTTTTTTTTTTTCTTTTATTTTTTTTATTATTTGATTTTTTTCTTTATCCTTAAACTAACAGACAGAGAATCAGCACTTTTGAAACAGGGCTGAAACAGAGGGGTTTATGGGATGCTACAATGATCTGTTTGGTGTTTGAGGCCAAACACTTCAGAGCCATGTTTTGTATATGGCTGAGACCTATAATAAATGTATGAAAAATAGTATAATAGGGGACCTTTAAGTACATTTCGAAGCCCATACTTCTATACTTTTACTTGAGTAAAGAAGTTTAGTCAGTACTTCTACTTGAGTAAAGGATATGTGTATCTTTGCCATCTCTGCACAGAAGGGAAGATGCAGTCGTTGTTTTAGCAGACATTTTTTGAGCAGGAGATAAGAAGGAAACAGACAGGAGAGACACAACTCACTATTCAGTAGAGGTCTTCAAGTCATTCAAAATATACACAAATAAGTTTCCACACCGCTGCGGACCCCTGGGGCAGGAGCCAAGGTCAGGAATGCCCCCCCATCCAGCATTAATCCCCCCCTTCCACCCCAACAGTGGCTTATTAACTCATACACAGCCGGAGGGACCGCCTGCCTGACTGAACACACCCCCTACCCAGCTGATGATCTCTGTTATGTGAAAAAGTGCTAATAAACCTGGATCACCTGCTGCCTTTACAGGAAGCCTTTTTATTTCACTTATATTCAGAATAAAAGCACAATTAAGCTGGTTACAGCAGCTTTGTGTAAATCAAAACTTAGCCTAGTTATAACATATTTACTACTTGAAGATGTATGCAAACACAAGTAAGTGTTAAGTAAAAATGAATATGCCTGAAAACAACCAACCAGAGCCAAGGTGTCTCGAAACACAATCAGTGTTTGGGATCTCAGATGAAACTTTTAAACTCAGCCCTGATCAAAAATAAATTATGCTTATGCTAAGATTATGTCACTATGTTTTATCTTTCTTGCTTCATATGCTATTTAAAAACTATTTTGAACTGTTTTGTAGTTTTTTAAATGAGAGAGTTCGCTCCAATCAGTGGGTAGTCCTTGGTTTTGGTTGGACTGTTTTCAACATGGCGGCTGGGTTCCAAACTTTCTCAGAAACTTAGATTAAGCTTTGAAAATAAAGTTCTCAGGGGTTGAACAAAGTTTGGCTGCCCGATGACTCTGTTATAACTAAACCAACAAACAAGAGGGTGTTAAAGTGTGGATTTATGCACTCAGGTACACTCACTAAATGTGTCCAATCACATTGTGTCTCTGTGTTTAGTTTGCACCATGATAGTTTCCTTAAAGTAACCTTGTACAATCTGTACCAGTGTAGTAAATATAGTACATCCAGAGATCTGTATAGCACTAAAACAAAGAATGTGAGTTGCCTTGATCTTATTGAGGAAATGATACTGACCTTTTAGATTAGCCTGGGACATCCCTGAATTGCCTCATACATGATTGGCAACCACACTGGGTTAATTTTGAGAACATAACAAGGACATTTTAGTAAAAATAAATGAGTCAAAAAGCTATAAACTATAGGCAACAGTACCAAGCCACTTCTGAGGTGCTTCCAGATAAGACCTCTGACTCTTGCGTTAAGTGTCTGTTGTGTCTGTTCTAACAGCTGCCTCATTCTTTCACCTCCGGGCTGACACACTTTGATTCTCCGTCTTTTTCTCCCTCTGATTCATCAAAAAGCACCTTTCCTGAGAAGTGTTGGTGATTCCTGGAAAGCCCTTCTCTTTGATTGCTTCCTGGCACTGCTGACAGCCGCAGTGTGTCACACTTTTAACGGTCTGTTTGTGATGAAGCATGTCATGTTTATTAAGACAAGAAAATATCGAAGACTGGTTGCATTTAGCAACTTCATCTTTTCTTTCTTTTTCCCCTTGACCCTTTCTGCAACCTTCTCCATCAGCTTCCAGACTGTCTGTCATTTATCTCTTTCTGTTATTTCTCTTTTATCTGCCATGGGCCGTAAACATAGAGCTTCTTCAAAGCTTTTGGCTCCGTCCCAGGTCAGTAGCGGCCCTGTCCAATTAAACGATACACATCTCCCCCACACTTGGCTGAGCGGCCCTTCCCTTCAGCGACCTCGGCTCCAAGCCTGGCCTTACATGGGGGAATTCATATCAGGGAACAAGGAAGGTCAGACTGACCAAAAAAGGGTATTGGCCTCGTAAATCAAGATGGATGTAAGAGGTTTTATCACCAAGACTTTATTTTACTTCCTGCATCTCAGCTGGATGTCAAAATGGAAAATGTAGTTGTCTTACCTCCTGACCCCTGACCATTTTCAAAAGCAGCCTATTGTGTATTAAATATCTGGGGACATTTATATTACAGGGAACAACTTGTATGAGAAAATAATTAAGTGTATCACCAGACTAGATGTTTAGTCAGCTGGTTCATTTTCTAATTACACTGGAGTAAATGAAAAATAATGGTAATTCAGTTCTTATGTAAAACTAAAACCATATATTTTTTAGAAAATGTCCCTGATGATAAAGGAAGGTGAAACAGTTTTACACAACAAATGCATTCCAATTATCTTCTTGATAATTGAGCAATGCTATTTTTATCCGGGTTTTTTTTTTGTAGGTAACACATCATGTAGTCACTTCCGCCAATGATAAATGTGTTTTAAAAATGTGGATAAACCCATCACAGCAGACGAACACAGTAAAAACAGCTGGTGAACATGGTACATTTAGCAGCTAAAGAGACAAATAGGCCATTTGGAGTTGGTGGAGCTAAAATGGATTACATTTAGGACTTTTATTTGTCGAGTGGACCGACATATGCCTCCAAGTGAAGTGTTGCTCAGTATCTTCTATAGAATATATATCAAATGTAAAAAGAATAATACTGATAATATGTCATTTTTGTTTTTACAGCGATTTTTAACTTTATACTTATTTTTGATAAAACTAAAAGATGAACGTTTGGTGATGCATCCATGCACAAAAGTCCTGTTATTAGTTTGTTTTAGACATCAATGTTGATGAGCAGTGTGGAGATATCATGAAACAAAGTGATACAAAAGAAGGACCTTGAATAAAGCAAACCGCACAGATGAAGTCATTTCTCTCACTTTCACTTGATCTTTGGCTTCAGTGTTTGAACATGAAAAGACAGCAGCCCCGGTCACTGCAGGTTGGCCCCTTCTCCACAGGGGCCCTTACAGAGGGCACAGGGGTCAGTCCGCCTCCTCCTGCACTCATTAAGGCTATAGCAGCTCATTAGTGAAGAGCCCCCGGGCAGGGAGGGGGAAATGGCTCTAATCAATATGAGACTACTTGTTTGTTTTCACAGACATTAGTCTGAGGAGTAAGAAAAAACACTCACAGGCCCCACCCGACACCAACAACGCTGGACTGCTCTTATCAATAAACAAATAATTAGAAGGCAAGCCAATTAGCTTTTTTCTGAACTTGGCGGTACAGCAAATAGAAAGATTGATCCTTTGTTTATACTTTTCAATTAATAAATGATCGATCATTTATGAACATATATATAAAAACTGAAACTTTTATATTCTTACTCAAAATTAAAGCCAATTGAACACTAAATACTTTTTTTCAGTTATTTTCCTGTTCTGTTTATCATTTTCTACATTTTGATTAATCGGGGGAGAAAATGATATTAAAAAATTGTAAACTTTGTCTGATTCCAGCTACTAAAATGTCATTTCTTTCTATTCTGCTAAGTATCTCAAAGTGAGATATTTGCAACAAAAGATTGGGCTCTGGGAACTGTCGATTGGCAATTTCCACAATTTGCTGATATCTTTATTAGCTGATACAATATAAAAGCGACAGCACACACACACACACACACACACACACACACACACACACACACACACCTCAATATACCATAATACAAATGACAATAAATCACATTTATTCGTGAGAAAAAATGTGTGTGAATTGAAAATAACTGATAAGAATTATTTAATGCTGATTTTTTTAAATGTTTCTTTAAACAATTTGGCTATCTTCCTAAATGAACTGCTCCAAAGTGATGCATTAATTGCCAATCAATCCAATTAATTTGTATACATTGTGTATTTATATTTTTATTTTATAAAGAATTTCTGGGGCATCAAAAAATTACCAATTGAGCTATACGACAGCACATCCATTCTGTATTTTGATGCAGATTATGATTCTTTTTTATTTTTTGTATGTAATTTAGACGTATAAGACTAGCAACTTTGGTCAATACTATTAAAAACTATGGTTGTGGTATAACCAAAGTCCAACATGAAGATCCGCACTAAAATTCCCTTCATTGACACTTGTACAAAGTGCGATAAGTGTTTGTTGCCACTCAGCCTCAGAGAAGGAGGTACAAAATAAATCTCCCCACCCTAATTGATAATTCCTTTAACGACTGAACTCACAAACCTTTGCTTGAACACACCCTGACAGACAGGTAGCTCTTACCTTCCCACGCTGCATAAATAAACAACAGCTCCACAATGTTATCCAGCAATTAGATGGAGGCTATTAGTGTGCACAGGTTGAGAGTGCATTGCAGGTGAGAATGTGTCCTTTGACCTGGTTTGAATCGAGTCAACACAGGAGACACCTGACTGAGGATCTCTGCTCCTTCAGTTTCTTTGTGTGGGATCTAAGTGCTTCTGTATGGTGCCCTTTGCTTTTTACGATTGTCTGCATACCCACTAAGTTTGTAAAAGCAATACGTCTTCCAACCAGGGGCCGGTCTTAACCTTTGACCCCCCTGGAGATTTAGCTGTGACCCGCCCAGTGTTTGGGCGAGCCTGGTGGAGGGTCTGAGGGTTATATGGAGCACGCTGCATGAATGAATTGACACAACCCTTAACAGATGTTCAGGGAGGAGGCTCTGTGGTCAGCTCTGGTTTGACTATGAATGAGCCGCCAACAATCGGACCCTCAGTGGCCTCGGTCAGCACGCATTGACAAAATGAGACTCTTTGAACACAAGTGGAGGGTCTTTGTGTCTCAGCAGATGTTTTGCTTGAAGAGACATTGTGAACCATTTAAGCAAAAATAAATCAAATAGTTTACCAGTGTTTATGTGGACTTATAAAAGTGAATCCTCTTTTTACATGATTTTTCTTTCTGAAAATGTCCAGCAAGTTTTGGTAACGTTTTCTACGAAGTGGAGAATTTACGTGGAACAGATTACTACAGATTCTTAACCAACATTTAGCTGATTGACAAATGAGCCAAAGTTTGGTTGAAGTAGTCATGGCGTCGTCACATGACAAATAAGTAAACGTTTAAGTAAAAATAACTATGGAAGAGGAAAGTGTTGTGACAATTAGTTCAATGTTCACGTTAAAATAAGAGGTCTTACTTTTAGTACAGAAGTTAAGTATGAATACATTCTGGTTACACACGAGACACAAGCAATAGTCCCATAGGAAAACGTCTCATGTACTGGACCCTCCCATCCACCCCATCCACCCCATCCTACTCCCACTCGGACTCCTCTTTCAGTTCGGTGGATTACAAACATGAAAAT